ACACACACACACACACACACACACACACACACACACACACACACATGTACACCCATACTAATTGGCACCACAGACTCAAGTTCAGACGCACACACATGTAAACATATTATTATCTTACAATATGAGTGTATATAAAGTATTTATGCTATATATAAAATGATACATATCTACATTTAATTACATTGGTCAAACAATTTCTATGTTTTGATATACCTTTTGTACGATTAGCTGGTGCTTCTTACATGAATGTATAAAATATACACATACTATATATGATATCTACATTTATACATCAAATTTTATTGTTCAAACACTCAGTGTGTGTCTTGTTTAACTTATTGTGCTCATTCTAACGTTTAATTAATTGATAGATGGTTAATCAGACTCGGCACTTGGCCGGCCAGTGTAACTTCATAGAGAGTTCATAGACTACTTTACTGGGAGTGACGTTCTCGTCACTATAACTATAATAATTATTATGGTACAGGGGTAACATGGATACGTCCAGAGGTTTGGTTGTTTGTTTTCTTCTTTAAAACACGTAGCGCTAAGAACAGGTTTGATTTCATGTTCAAACACACCAATGCAGGTACTGTACTTTGAAAGGCTGAAGTGTGTTCGTTTTTGAGACGGCTGTGGTGACATGAAAGGTTATGCAAGATATTGTTTACACTTTTCAATCCCCTCAAACCGGCTGAGAGATATCGGATTTCAACTTAATTGCCTTTCTGCAGGTACCAGCACCCTTGTGTTATTTAACTTGAGAATCCCTTGATTATCTGATCTGTCTCTTATGCATGGCTGAGCTATACTATACAGCAGTAACAAACACACTGTGTAAATCAATAGTATGTTTTAGAATTCATTGCTATTGTAATTCAAATTCTATATGTGTTTTATTTGTGTCCAGCTTTACGTGGACAGAGCCTGGTTCTATACGCATTTAGCTACCTCAGAATTACCAAATTCTATCGGCTCAGTACCTAAATTTGAGATATTTGACTTAAAACATTTTGAGTTTCACATCATGTCGAGCATTTTTTAATGCAATATTTTGTTTTTATCTTGATAACGACTCCAAATAATATTACGATTTTGATGGAGCAGATACAGCTTTCGGTTTCTGACCTCATGATCTTAGTAACCCAAAACAGCCAAACATGTCAGATAGAGCTTTGTAATTCTCAGACAGCGATTTCTCTTTTCGGTTGTTGTCATCGAATGAAGAATAATATGAGGCACTCAAGTTAGGCTCAACTTTCGATACACCTGGATACCTTCCGGGGTCATTATCTGACTCAGAGGTTGACGTGTGATGACCCTTCAGCGCTCATGGTAGCTAGCTGCAATTCCACATTCTGCTGTACCCAGGCCAGTCCATGTCTTAATGATGTCTGCACATGTTACCCTGTGTCCACCCCTGGCTCTCTTGTCCCACTTTCTTCCTTTATACACTTCTTTCACTGTGGTTTAAAAAACACTTAATATTATTATGTACACAACGACATTAATATATAATGCACACCGAGAAACATAGGCAAAATCATCTTTGTGCCATCGTCTTAAGAGGATGATGATGATGATGATGATGATGATGATGATGATGATGA